TAAAAGTGTCAATCTCTCAAGAATATGTAATAATTACAAACACATATGCATCCAACAACAGAGCCCAAAATACGTGAAACAAAAATAGCACAAATAAAGAGAAGGAACCCAACAATAGTATTAGACCCTTTATTGCTCTACTTTTGACAATGAACAGAAAAACCAGGCAAAGGATGAACAAGGAAATAAAAGTACTGAGTTAAAATCCGACTAGTTCTAACAGAGATCTATACAGCACTCTACTCCAAAACACCAAAATATAGTTATGTAACATAACAATGTTTCAATCAATGATGGACCACATATACAATGGTAGTTCCATAAAATTATAATGGACCTGAAAAATTCCTTCACCTTGTGGTGTCACAGCTGTTGTAACTTGTAGTGCCATGCATTACTTGTGTTTGTGGTAATGATGGTATAAACAATCCTGTTGCACTGCCAGTCATATAAAAGTATAGCACATGATTCCATACAGTATATAATGCTTGATAATGACAATCAATCTGTTACTGGTTTATTTTATCATTATTATTTTTATTTTTTAAAGATTTATTTTAGATTCAGGAGGTACATATTCAGGTTTGTTACATGGGTACATTGCAGGATGCTAAGGTTTGGACTTTGAATGATCCTGTTGCCCAAGTAGTGAACATAGTACCCAACAGGTAATTTTTCAACCTTTCTCCCTCTCCCTACCTTGTCCCTTTTGAAATCCCCAGTGTTCATTGTTTTCATCACTGTGTTCATGTCTACCCTTGCTTAGCTGCAGCTTACAAGTGGGAATATGTGGTTTTCTGTTTCACATTAATTCACTTAGGATAATGTCTCCAACTGCATCCATGTTGCTGCAAACGCCATGATTTCACTCTTTTTCTTTTATGGCTGCTGCATAGAACTCCATAGTTTGTATGAACCACATTTTCTTTATCCAGTTAACTGTTGATGGGCATCTGGGTTGATTTTATGGCTTTGCTATTGTGAACAGTGCTACAATAAACATATTAAGTGCAGGTATCTTTTTGGCAGGACAATTTATTTTCCTTTGGGTATATTTCTAGTAATGGGATTGCTAGGTTGAATGGCCTATTTTTAGTTCTTTGAGAAATCTCCAAACTGCTTCCCACAAAAGCTGAACTAATATGTATTTCCACCAGCAGTGTATAAGCATCCTCTTTTTGCCAAAACCTCACTAATATGTTATTTTTTCAACTCTTTAATAATAGCCATTGTGTTTTGTAGAGACAGGGTCTCACTATGTTGCCCAGGCTGATATTAAATTTCTGGTTTCAGGCAATCCTCCTGCCTCATCCTCCCGAATTGATGAGATTACAGTCCAGAGTAACTGTGTCTGGCCGATAATAGCCATTTGACTTGTATGACATGGTGTCTCATTGTGGTTTTGGTTTTGTGTCTCTCTGATAATTAGTAATGAAGATATTTTCTTATGTTTGTTGGCTGCTTGTATGTCTTTTTTTGAGAAGTGTCTGTTCATGTCACTTTACTGTTATTTTAGAGTATACTCCTACTTAAAAAAAAAAATAAGTTAACTGTAAAACAGCCTCAGGCAGGTCCTTCAGGAGTTAGTCCAGAAGAATGCAATTGTTATCACAGGAGATGACAACTCCATGCATGTGAACAAATTATGGAGATGGAACTCAGTGATATTGATGATCCTGATCCTGTGTAGGCCTATGTGTGTTTGTGTCTTCGTTTTCAAACAAAAAGCTTAAAAGTTAAAAAAATTATAAAAATACTTTTAAAAGCTTATAAAATAAGAGTATAAAGAAAAAATATATTTGTATGGCTGGGAAAATGTGTTTGTCTTTGAGCTAACTGATATTATAAAAGAGTCAAAAAGTTAAAAAAAATTAAACTTTATAAATTAAAAGGGGTATAGTAAGCTAATTTTTCATGGAAGAAAAATTGTTTACAAATTTACTGTAGCTACATGCATTGTGTTTATAAAGTCTACAGTAGTGTACAATAATATCCTATGCCTTCACATGTATTCACCACTCACTCACTGACTCATCCAGAGCAACTTCTAGTCCTGCAAGCTCCATGCATGATAATAAGTTTATACAGGTGTACCGTTTTTTTATTTTTTATATTGTATTTATACAGTAACTTTTCTATGTTTAGTAATATTTAAATACACAAATGTTTCCCATTGTTTTTCAGTTCCCTATAGTATTCAGTATAGTAACATGCTGTACAGGTTGTAGGTTAGGAGCAATAGATTATGCCATACAGCCCAGGTATGTAGTAGGTTACACCATGTAGGTTTACTTAAGTACACTGTACGATGTTCACACAACAAAATCATGTAACAATGGGGTTAATGTATCCCTGTTAAGTGATGCAAAATTGTATATAATATTCTCAAGTACATTAACATTTTCCAAGACAGGTTGTTGGTAGGCCATACAAAACTCTCAACACAAGTACTGAAATCATGCAAAGTGTGCCCTTTGAACATAATGGAATTGTATTAGAACTCTTGAGTCTGTATGATAGATTGTGTCTTTTTAGAGATCTGTTCATTTCATCTAAGTTATAGTTTCTTGACATACAAGTGCTCATAGTATGCAATTATAATTCTTTTATTTCTGTATGACTAGTAATAATGTCTTTACTATTATATCTGACTTTATTATTAAAATATGAATCATCTCTTTTTTGGGAGGTCAGTCTAGTTAAAAGTTTAGTAATTTATTTGACATTTTGAAAAAATCCAGTTTGGGTTTTGCTGATTTGCTTTATTGTTTCTTACGCTCTATTTTGGTTATCTCAGCAGTGATTAATTAAACTATTCAGTAGAAACCATACTTTAAGTACCATACAAACATTTTATTTTTCACTTTCAGTATGGAAATGCTTGCATTTTCATATTTACTGCAGCATTATTGACAATAGCCAAAATATAGAATCAACCTACATGTCCATTGATGGAGGAATGAAAAAGTACACACAATGAAATACCATTCAGCTTTAAAAAGGAAGAGAATCCTGCCATTTGTGACAACATGGATGAACCTGGCAGGTATTATGTTAAGTGAAATAAACCAAGCACAAAGTGCTAGTTACTACATGATCTCACTTACCTGTGGAATCTAAAAGGGTTGAACTCACAGAATAAGAGAGTAGAGTGGTGGTTGCTAGAGGCTGGAGTGTGGTAGAAATGAGAAGATATTGGTTAAAAGGTACAAAGTTTTAGTTACATAAAATAAATAAGTTCTGGAAGCCTATTTGCAGCATGGGGACTACAATTAATAATAATATATTGAGTATTTTTAAATTGTTAAGAGTAGATATTGCTAAGAGCAGATATTAAATATTCTCATAAAAATAGTAAGTATTGATGTAGTGGATATATTAATTAGCTTGATTTAATAATTTCACAACATATACATATATCAAATATCAAGTTGTACATTGTAACTATATACAATTTTTTTAGCCAATTATACTTTAAGAAAGATGGGGAAGATTAATTAGTTTTTAAAAACAGTAAGTGGAGAGTTGGATTTTACCAGGATCATAGTAAAAAGCAAGTGTCATAGAGTGGGGCAGCAAGAGAACAAACAGGTGAAGGGTAAATGCAAGGCAGTGAGTACAGTGATTCTAAAATTTAAGGTGACTTCATATACGCCAAAGAGGTACTGATTAATGGATTAGGGTCAACTAGGAGAGACCTTTTGATTGCATTTCACAGGTCTCTGTCTTTCTCTCCACCTTAAGAGTTATATAATAAAAGTTACCTTAGAACAAATTATAGAGTCATGGTTATAAAAAGTAAGAGTAACCAATATTTATTAGGTGTATCCCTAAACTGAAATCCATTCCACAGGTACAGTAGAAGCTGATATAGATGTGTCAGAAAACTATTAAATATAACATGAATTAAGAAATAAATTCAGGCATAAAGATAGACTTACCATATCAACCGTGTGTTTAGCCTATGTCTGATTGTGTACCCTGAGGAAAAATGAAAAACAAGATTTTATATCAACAAACATAAAATGCTTGGAGGTACCATGGTAAAGTCCATGCAGAATTACAGAAATTGGATAGCAATACCTTCGTAAAGAAAATCCTGTTCATTCCTTTCTACCCAAAGTCATTTCTTCTTTTTTATTCTACATATAATTGTTTGCTTTATTAGTGTCTTTACTTTTTATTTAATAACTATAGAATGACTGTCATAAGTAATATTATACTTTCCTATGAACTGGGAAGGATATAAAAATGAATTCATTACTGTCCCTACTTCCATGGAGTTTACAGTCTAGTTGTTGAAATCACATCTATCTACACCTCTGAAATACACAGAGATTCTAAGTATAGAGAGTTTTACAAATAGTAAGGAGCCATGTAAAAAGAATATGGCTGTTTCTTAAAAATCTGAACATGTACTTACCATATGACCTAGCAATTGTACTGTATGCCATGAATCTCAGAAAAATAAAAACATGTCCACACAAAAAGCTTACACACAAATATTCATAGCAGCTTTATTTGTAACAGCCAAAATCCAAATGCCCTTCAATAGGTATACAGCTAACAAACTATGGTACATCAATATCATGTAATACTACTCACTAATGAAAAAAGAATGAACTATTGACACACACAGCAACTTGAATAGATCTCAAGGGAAGTATGCTGAGTGAAAAAGCCAACCTGGAAAAGTAACATATTGAATAATACATTTATATACCATTCTTGAAACAATAAAAATTATAAAGATAGAGAACAGATTAGTGGTTGCCAGGGATTAGAGACTGGGAACGGGGGGAGGGAGGGAGCTAGGTGGCTGTCGTTAGCATGCTCCAGGTGTGTTTCCAGAGACGGTTCCTCAAATCATGCATGATAAATTTTGTTTTAGTTTGGAATCCAATCTCCAGAAATTTGAAAAATACTAATAATAATGTAAATCAACACGAATCAATTTTTAAATGCCATTTGCCAAGCTAAATTGTATTCTTTTGGTTTTGCAAGACTCTAAACTCAGGTACAGTTCTCATTATTATTTAAAGATCTACACATTCTTCTTGAATCCATCTAGATGCCAGACTTCCCTATAACTTCCCACAGCTTGTGGGTGCCACCTAGAGGCTCAACTACAGAACACACTGAAACAAGGGGAATTCATTTTTCACAGAATACTGAGAGTAGTTTTAAACATACTTGCATCCTTGATTAAAATTCAAGGTTTTCCTCAGTTTTTTTTTTTTTTTCAGAGCATTTTGTTCAATGAAAGAAAAATAGTTTATGCAAAATATTTAACACTATCAATTCAGGTCAGTTTTTGTATTCTTGCCAAGTGCCTAAATTTTATCAGTTCATACTCCAATGTTATTCAAGTCAATAAAGTGAAATTTTTCCCACTAATATTGATTTTCAAGGTAATTATGGTACAATATAAAATTTATATGAGTAGCTGTGTGCAATGAGAAAGACTTGATGAAATCTCACCATTAACAAGTCATATGTCATGGTACCAGTCCTAACTTTGTTGTGGCTTAGATTACTGAAAGCTGTGTCTCTAACAACTCAGTAACAAGTTGTTAAATAAATATTTGCTATAACTTGCTTAGAACAAGTACATTGCATGGAGTTTGTATCATTATTGTAGATCACAAGAAAACAGAGTCTTCTTCACATTTATCATAGTAGCTGTTTGGAAATGAAAATAAAGCTATATCTTGGCTTCTTTCTTGATTTCCTTAGTTCCCATACTTCTTAAATGATGAACTGATTGATATTCTGCGGTATTTCTTTGCTTGACTTTTCATAATGAATATGATCATTTCCCATATTCCGCTAAGGAAAAGAAAAACACCTAATACTTTCCTGTGCCAATAAATTGTAGGGGATTTTTTCTTCTTATATTTTCTTTCACTCCTTGTTCTGTGCCTTGAAAATGGATATTTACTAAAATGAGAGGAATTGAGGAACTGAAGAAAAAGAGTGCTTCAAATTGTATATATGCAGGAGAAATTTATGTCAACAAGTCAAAACTCTGACGACAAAACTTCTGAAGAACAAAGGCATGCAGGCTGTAATGTAAGATTGTATTATCTATTTCTCTATGTGCATAAAGTTTGAACTATTGCTGAGAGGATCACAGAGTTGATCTGGCAGAACCAGGATGCTTATGTGTGGAACAGAGTTGGGAAGAAAACATATGTAGCAAGCAAACAGTTTAGTGAGTGAGATCAGTCAAATCTAGTTGATTTGCAAGTCTTCTTCTCCAATTCTGTATCTCTGAAAATGACCTCTACATCCAAAAAAAAATTGGATCTCTTCTATTAGGCTTTACTCTCTTAGATACCAGTTTTGGAAGTAATCCAGTCCCGCAAGGCAGTAACTCTGGTATAAACACCAGGCTTGTTGGGTTTCGCACATTCATCTCCCCAGCTTACTATTCCAGCAAGATACCAGATATCTCTAGCATCTGAACTGACCAGTGGTCCTCCAGAGTCACCCTAAAAAAAAAGACAGAAATTAATAATTCATAATTCAGTTCATTACAGAGGAATTGGCTGTTTTTCTAACTTAAGAGTGCAATGAAAGGGTTAATTTTCAAAAGTATTCAGTGTGTTTGCATTCATAAGTGATTTTCTCCATCTATGTCAATTTTCCACCTAAAAGAGGAGATCCAATACCTTGAAAACTGATGTAGCCTCAAGGTTCAAAACAATGAGATGGAAGGCTCCAACTCTCTGAATTGTACTCTTAACTTACATGATACATCTGACAAAATAACTCCCTGTATAGACAGTCTCTTTATTAGTGCAACATAACCCCCCAAAAAGAAGTGAAGAGTCTGATTTAAAAAAAAAAAAAAAAGGAAAAAAAAAAAAAAACAGACGTTAGAATCAGACACCATGGTTTCTGTCTCAAGTTTGGCCTTTCCAAGCTGGAAAAGACCTTTAATTTATTTATCTGTAAATGCTCCTAATAATACCTACCTGTGATGGGTACTATGAGGATGACGTAAGACAGTGAATATAAAGTGCTTAGTCTAGCAAAAAGCACAACTTAGGAAATGCATCTATAAAATCACTAATTCTAATTACTTATATCCTGCAAACTCCAGAGGTTTGCTTCTTTATATGGGTTGTAATAACAAGGCACTGGCTGATTATTCCTCAAGATCCTGGAGCCTCTAATCGTTGACCACCCATTAAGTATTCACAGTCTATGAAGATCTTAATTGATTAAATTATCCCTATAATTTTTGTAATTCTTGTTTAAAAATATAACCAGGTTATTCTTTTTTCATGTTATTAATAAGAAAAATGAAACTCAGAAACATTAAGTAATTTGCCTGAGATACGTGCTAATCAGTGGTGGACCCTGAATTTGAATCCAGACAAATCTAACTTAGAAACACATGCTTTTTTTCCTACATTATACTAACTTCCTTTTGAATTTTCTTTTGTTCATTGAAAAAATTAACTAATATAATAGTTCATTTTGAAATAACGCATTTGTGATTTTTTTCCCATTTATTTATTTTATTGCATTTTAGGTTTTGGGGTACATGTGAAGAACATGCAAGACTGTTGCATAAGTACACACGTGGCAGTGTGATTTGCTGCCTTCCTCCCCATCACCTACATCTGGCATCACTCCCCTTGCTATCTCTCCCCAGCTTCCCACCCCTCACTGTCCCTCCCCTATTTCCTCCCAACTGACCCCAATGTGTAGTGCTCCCCTCCCTGTGTCCATGTGTTCTCATTGTTCAACACCCACCTATGAGTGAGAACATGCGGTGTTTGATCTT